ATTTGCTCAGCATGCAGGTTGAATAAGTATGGTGAAAGAATACAAATTTGTCGCACACCTTTTGTAATTTTAAACCATTCAGTGTTCCTATGTTCTGTTCAAACAACTGTCAACACTCACGGAATCAGCAGTCAAGAAATCAAACGACGTATTGCATTAGGCAAATCTGCTGCACAAGCCCTTTCTAAAGTGTTGAAGAGCAGAGATGTCAGCTTGAGGACTAAGGTGTGCCTGACCCAAGTCATCGTATTTTCAATAACCTCGTATGCATGCGAAAGCTGGACAGTGAATAAGGAAGATTGTGGAAGAATTGATGTTTCTGAGTTACGGTGTTGGAGGAGAATATTGAAAGTGCCATGGGCTGCCAAAAGAACCAATAGATCCATTTTGGCAGAAGTGCAGCCAGAGTACTCCTTGGAGGTCAGGATGGCCAAACTTCGTCTCTCATACTTCAGCCATATTGTCAGGAGGGACCAGTCACTGGAGAAGAATACCATGTTTGGTAGGGTGGAAGGTCAGAGAAAAAGAGGAAGACCCCCAATGAGATGGACTGGCCAAGTGGCAGCATTGATGGACTCAAACATGGCAACAGTAGTGAGGTTGGCCCAGGATCAGGCAGTGTTTCATTCTGCTGTACATAGGGTCGCTATGGGTTGGTGCCAACTCGATGGCACCTAACAACAACAGTCTAGTTCTGATTATGAAGCCATTGAAGCTAGGTTGAATGGGTACTAGCTACAAGTTTGGGTGTTCTTGTGCATCTCCCCTTGCTTCATATCAACTGGCCACTTTGCTCTCAGCACTAGCCCTCCATAGTTATGTCTTTGTACATGGACTCTGCAGGCCTCACCACACTTTGTACCAACCAGCCCTTCCTCTTCTCTCTCTCATCTCCAGGCCGATGGGAGTCTATGGAACATGGTTAAACTCAGCCTATTTCTTCATTGCTGCCTTTCCTCCTCGTCCACTCACCAGTAGACCAACGTGGTCACCAGAAAGCTTCCATGCCTGCTCATGTGTTCCCTTTGAGTTCCAGTCTTGGAAGGAGGGGGGTTTGTCCTGAAGGGACTTGACTGCTTGCCTTGATGGCTCCCTGGCAAACAACTTGCTTGTTCTTGTAATAGACAATCAGATTGCAATTTTTGTAGAAATGATTGTGAGGTTGGCACAAGACTGGGCAGTGTTTCATTCTGTTGTACATAGGGTTGCTATGAGTTGGAGCCAAAGCTATGGCACCTAACAACAACAACAACAACAAGGACATAAGAAGATAGTCTATCTGCTACATACTAAGACAAACATTTGACTCACTGACATTAAATATGAATCATACTTAATGTTCTGACTGACCTATAAATTCAACTTAACGACAGACTTAGGAACAGAGCTCATTAACAATCTGGATATTGCAAACATAATAACCATTATGAATTAACATAATAGCAATTAAAACACTAAACTTGTAAGGCATGCTGATAATCATTCCACAGAACAGAAGTAACCCAATAAAACCACACCAGTACCCAGCGACTCAGACCTGACTCATGGTGACCCCATGCAACCTGCAGGCATTTCTTCTACAGCGGCCCCTTTTGGTGAGTAGCTCAGTGCTTGACGATTTGCACCAGCCAGGGATACTTGCACCCAACCTGACAGTGAGCGTAGTGCCGGGAAAGGAAGACACAGTCTCATCATTCTGTGGTGGTTGCTAGGAGACGTCCATCAGTTCGGACTCATAACAACCCTGTGCACAATGGAACACTGCCCAGTCCCGTGCCACCCTCACCATCATTGTTCAATTTGAGCCCACTGCTGCTGCCACTGTGTCAATCCATCTTGTTGGGGGGGGTCTTCCTCTTTTTTTGCTGACCCTCTGTGTTACCAAGCATGGTGTCCCTCTCCAGGAACTTATCCCTTTAGACAAAATGTCTGAAGTATGAGAGACAAAGTCTTGCCATCCTGGCTTCTAAAGAGCATCTGTCTGTACTTCCAAGACCAAGATCCCATAAAAAATCACCATCGTGCCAAGAACCAAGACCATCTCAAGTTGAATGAAGAAAGACAGCCAACAGACACAACACTGAGCTGCTCCAGACATTGATCTAGCGGACAAACATTTCAAGATGGAACCCACAAGAACGCTTCAACCACCGGGTGATTTGTTCTTGTAAAGATGATAGTCTAGGAAACCCTATGGGGTAGTTCTACTGTGTCACATAAGGTCGCTGTGAGTCAGGATCAACTCAGTCACCCAGCCACCACAGCAGATAATTACAAACACATTGGAAATGAATGAAAAGAATAGAAAGTCTTAGCAAAGTAGTGTAAGATCTACATAAGCTGAGTGAAATAAGTTCATCACAAAAGGACAAATAGTGTATGAAACCAGTATTGTAAAAAATCAAGAAAGGTTTTTACACTAAAGAACACGTTACTAGGGATGGGAGGGCAGGTAAATTAGTAACTAGAAGGTTGTTAAGTGCCATTGAGTCAGTTCCAACTTATAACAACTCTATAGGGTTTCCGAGGCTTTAAATCTTCATGGGAACAGAAAACCTCATTTTTCTCCTGAGGAGCAGCTGGTGGGCTTCAAACTCAGACTTTGTGGTTCACAGTCCAGTGTGTATCGCATGGAGCCACTGAGCTAAAGGGTAGACATATTAACTTGGGTGAAAGGGAAGACAGAAAAAAGATTTAAATATGAATAAAGGAATTTTTAGGAAGGTTTTCAGTTCTAATAAGAGTAATTTGAAAAACCTCAATGGCTAAACTCAAGAGCAGAATGAAGAGGGCAGAGAAACCATGAACCTGAAGATGGTAGAATTTCTTGTGAAATGTTTGAGTACATGCTTTGTGATAATTTTCCTGTGTATACTTTCTGAGTCTGCAAGTTAACAGGGAAGTTACCGTGTTTTGTAATCATGTTGTCCAGCTTTGACTGACTCACAGGTACAATTCCACACAATTTGGTCTATTGACTGCTCTTCATTTCACAGTAGCTGGTGACCTGGGAGGGTCACCAGGACATCGCGTTGCTGAAACCTCGGCTGAGAGTGTTTTCTGTGAAGAACCTGGTCGGACCGGTCTACAACATTTCCCAATGGCCAGTACAGAGGTTCCTGACCCAGTTTTATAGGATCCTGCCCTGCCTGTGGGTGTCTGCCCAGGCACCTTGTGGAGAGGGTGCTGACCTGTCCTCAGGTCACCTGGCAGTCCAGCTCAGCTGCAGGTCTGGTTCTTGTCAGAAGCTGGATCTGAAGCTACAAAGGCAAGCTTCACTGGGACTCACTGGATGGCTACATCTGTTCATGATGCAAAGACCAGCTCTCACAGAATGTCCCAGACCCAGCCCATGGAGGCTGGGCAGCCGGAGAGGTGGCCGAAACACACCAGACTGGCCTCGGGTAAAGTCTGATTCCCGAATTTCTCTGTGGTGTGATGTCTTCAGTCTGTGTGAAGGGGTCGTACACTGGATTCTTTATGCTGACTGCTGCAGGGCTCTGTGCAGAATGGCTCTGCATTGGGGAGCAGGTGATCTGGCTGGGAGTGGCTAGTGGGTAAAGTCCAGAAGAGGTCTCCCTAGGGGGTTAGACAAGTTGGGGGTCTGGCTCCAAGCTGCAAGGGCTTCCTCTGGGCCCTGGGAGGCAGAGGGAAGAAGGAAGGGAAGCTGAGGGTGGCTCAGGAGGAAACGGGGTCCGGGCCTGAGTCTCAGCGGGTGACCTAGGCTTCCGGTGGGGGGCACTGGCCTGTGGAGGAGAGGCAAACAGGCCTTTATCCACGTGTTCTCAAAACTAGAGAGCAAATAGCCTAGCAAAACCCCTCACCTGCCCTTCTGCTCACCCCGCCCCTACCCCATGATACAACAGCCTCCCTTTTGGCCCACAGGACTCCAAATGGATATCCCAGGCCCCATCCACTTGTCTAATCTCACTGGAGACAGCAGGGCTTCGAACGCTGCCCCACTCCCAGCCCCTTCTCAGCATGTCTCATGGGGCCCTGACCTGTCCAGATAGTGTCAAGATCTCACCCTGGGTACCCCAGGCAGGCCAGGACCGGGCCCATCATATGACCATGCTCGGCTCCCCTCTCCCCCCCATGCCCCCCGCAGTAGGGCCATGCCCCCAGCCCCCTCTTTCTTACTTGGCCCTACACCTCGAGACAGGTTTCTTTTACCCACAGCCCCTGTCTCTGAGTAACTGTTGATGTTAAATGCCGTTGAGTTGGTTCCGACTCATAACAACTCTGTCTAGGGTTCCTGAGGAGCAGCTGGTGAGTTTGAACCGCCGACCTTGCGGTCCAGTGCTTATCCTACAGCGCCACACCAGGACTCCAGCGGAATAACTGGCTGACTTAATTGCAATGCACCCCTTGTAACGTGACCTGCACGGAGCTGGGGAGTGCATTCTGTCCTCCCTGGAACGGCCTGTCCACAGTCTGTTGACAGAGAGACACTGGGGAGCTAGGGCCCTGGGCTCTGGAGTCGGGGCCTAGCACGTCCACAGAAAGGGACCAGGCTCAGGACGGCTCCGTGGTGGGTGGGCTGGTGGGAGCCAGCAGGTGAAGCGTTGGGAGGCTGGCTGCAGACCCTCGCCCCTGGGGAAAGGGCTGGAGGACAGGCTTACTTACCATCTCCGTTGAAGGCTGGCGCTTCCTCCAGGTGGAATTGTCTGACATACTGAAGGTATCGTCCCAGCCATTTGGGGTCCTCGGACATGCTTCTTGCTGAAAGCAGAGGTCTGGCAGTGAGGGCGGGGCCCCTGGGTGCTCTCTCTTTTCAGATGGGGCAGCCTCTGGGTCTGTGGGACCAGGGTCCCATCTCTCTCCACCCACGGGGCTGCCTCCAGCTGCCTTTTGAGTTCTAACCCCATTCCCCTCCTCTCCTCATCCTTCCTCCTTGCTGGTCCTCCTAAGAAGGGATCTACCTGCCAAGGTGTTCTTGAAGGTGTAGGACAAATCCCATCACACACATGTCTGTTAAAGACCTTCCAGTAGGGGCCCACTGCACGCAGGGAGGTTGGGATACATGCTACCCACTTCCTGTGATCCAACACCCCGAGTGTGTGTTCACTCATGTCCAGTGCTTCGGGCTCCCAGCTCTGCCTACCGCTCCCCATGCCCACTCGGCCCCTCCCCCAGCCCTTTGCAAGTCTTCAGTCAAGTGCCAGCTTCCAAGTGCCCCTGCCCATCCCAGACATTTCTGCTTTCTGTCTTCGCCATTGTGGTTCTCGTCTCTCCAGACAGAGATAGGGAGAGTCTCTCTGTCTTACAAAGGACGGTCCCAGACTTCTAGGACTGAGAAGGGCATCAGGTGTGTGCTTGCTGAATGAATGAATGAGCTAATGAATAAAGGCCACACTACACCCCAGCCCTGAGGGGCTGGACTGGGAGCAAGCCAAGTCAGAAGGGCCAACTCGGGGTGCCCCATGGTCTCCCCCGCTCCAGGACCAGCTGGCAGAGCGGCACCTACCCAGCAGTGCCCAGAGGCCGTTGGTTTCAGTGTCCTGCTCAACTCGTATGTAGAGAATCATGCTTCGGTAGTCAGTGCCCACGAAGCGGACCAGCACACTGCCGCTGGAGTCAACTGGGGAAGATCCTTACTGAGGCGATCTATGCTGTCCCGGCTGCCACCCCCACCCCGGGCACCATGGTCCCACCAGCACCCGGCCCCTGCTTGCCTTGGCCCAGGGAGTGTGTACTCACAGGCACCTTGGTACTGGCCCTGGAGCCCAGTAGGGTGGACAGTGACATTCAGGCCATGACACACCCCCACTCCCCTGGGAAAGAGAGAGGACATTAGGCAAACACCCTACGGTCCATCCCTAGGCCCTGCCCACCCTAGGGGATGGCTGGTTAGTGGGGGGGGGGGGAGGGGTAGACTTGGTCTCCTTCCCCAGACTCTGCAGAGGCCCCACCCTCCCCATGCACCCTGGGGGGAGGGTGCACCCCATTGGTGTGGGAAGGGCTGGAGGCTCCCAGGAAAAGCTGAGAACCAGGTATCCCTGGACACTACTGTGTCAGGAGCTGGACCTGGGCTGCTCTTGGCTCGGAGCCGCAGGACTGGGGCAGGGATGGTCCAGTTCTGTGTGCAGGTGAAGCCTTTTACACACCCCTGTGTGGGCTGGGTGGAGTGGTCCGCTGGCACGTGGTAGGCACAGTCTGAGGATTCAGCACCCACAGGCGGTGTGGAGAACCATGCAGGACTCAGGAGCCCAGACTGATTACATGGCACCCCTGCTGCTTTAGACCAACACTCTGTGTGCAGCATCACTGCTGGGGGGCAGGGGGAGCCATGAACATCACCACCCCCCACTCAGGGTGTCAGGTCAGCGAAGGGGTGTCCAGGGTGGACGGGTCAGCTGGCAGGTGTGGGCCCCACCAGGCCAATAGTGAGCACAGCAGGCAGCATCCATACCAGGAAAGCCCCCAGGACAAGCCCAGACGTCTGTCTCTCAACAGCTGGAAAGTATGTGAACGCAAGCTGCACCCCTGAGCTGGGCTGTCCACGCAGATGGCCCTGCCTTCTGGCTTCCCCACCTCCATGTGACACCTCTAATCATGTCAGTGCCTCAAGAAGCCCTGGTCTGATGGGGTCCACTTGTCTTGGTCACCTGGGACCCTTGGGTCTGAGGATAGGACTCCAGAGGAGCTGCGGGGCTGAGCTTACATCCAGAAGAACACGAACTCCAGGTCCCCTTGGCCAGTGGTCCAAATAGAGTGCAAAAACAGCCTCAGGGGGTCGTCTGGGGAGACCAGGCCAGGGTTGGTGGCAGCAAGCTGGAGGGTGAGCCAGCGCCCCTCTACCTGCAGGAGGGAGGGTCCTTGTGGATGCTGGCCCTGAGTCCAGCATCCGGAGTTCTTCTGGGACTCAGAGGCACTGCCCGGCTCCTGCACACTGCAGTCGGAGCCCCAGGGTGCACTGGGCGGGGCAGCGGGGGCCCTTGGCCTGCTCCCTCTGCTGGTGCATCCTCTCATCTTCCCCGGGACACTCTGTCCTCCGTGCTGTCTCCCTCCTCTAGGCTCCGGTTGTGTTGGAGCCACACATCAGTTTCAGTGAGCCGGAGGGAAGTGCTCAAGTGTCTTGATGGTCTTGCTCAACACTGTCCACCTGACCATCAGCTTTGGGCTACAGGTCAGAGGGGAAGGTAGGACTATGCACCCCTCCCTGCTCCTGACAGGGTACTGAGGGTCATTCCAGGGTCTGGTGATGCTCCGAGCCAGGCCCCAACTCCCTTCTTCTGGGACTGCCTTGGCAGCCAGCTTCAACTACGTGGATGAGAGCAGTGAGCCTAGGACCACGCCTTTGTCCATAACCATCGGTCTAAGGAAGGACAGTCCTCTCTGTCGGGGGGTGGGGTGCAGGGCAAGGCTAGGATGGGGCCTGGAGCTGCCCTTACATGCCCCCCAACTTCTTGTGTCCTGTATTCCCCCCATTGATACCCTCCCCAGGGCCACCTCTGAGATCCTCCATGTGTCCTGGTCCCCGGCTGTGACAGTTACCTTCTGGGCATCCAAGTCTCTCTGCAGAGGCACTTCCTGTAGGGTCTTCTGAGTACTGGCCAGGCCCAGGCCAAGAACCAGCAGCAGGATCCGTCTTCCCAGGTCCATGTCTCCACGGCTTTGGCAGGAAGAACCTCCCAGGGGCCCCTCTGTGTGATGTCCCTGCCCGTTCCTGGGAATTCTGGGAGCATCCCAGAGGAGTGGCACAGCCTCCTTGGTCCCCAGTGGGCATGGACCTCAGGCCAGCGGCTGGCAGTCAGGTTGGTTTAACCACATGCACCTGTGGGGGCGGTGGGGAGGAGCCGGGATGACCTCCCTGTAGTGGTTTACATTTCATCTCAGCCCACACCCTGATCTCAGGGTGTGGCGGGGACGGAGGATGATGCTCCTAGCACTGAGCACCAGTGGGGATGAGGAAGGATGCTCGCAGATCTGAACATCAGTGAGGATGACGATGATGCTCCCAGCAGTGAGCACCAGCAGACGATGTGATTTATGAGACCATTTGTGACCATCATCTCGAAACCCAGCTGCCATCCTGGAGCAGTCTCCCGGTTTCTTCGCTCCCTGTTCTCCTGCCCCTGAGTGGGACAAGCTGCCCACTCACACTCCAGGCTGAGGACAGGTCAGACTGACCGATGGGTGCTCCCTCTGGGGGTTCCTGGGCACTGCCCTCACTGAGCCTCTGACTGTGTCAAATCCAAGCTTCCTCTTTTCCTCTTCGGAGGTTTGAGTCTGGCTGGAAGTGAGGGGGCTCGATGGGGACTCGCAGCCTGCTGGAAGAGCCAGGAGGGGCCACTGTGGTGATTCAGTATGGGACTGGGGTCTGGACACGTCCTCCTGGGGTCTCCTCACCCCCAGAACTGGGGGCTGAAGGGGGTCACGTGCCCAGCAACCCTACTCATCATGAGGCTATCCCATCTCCTTGAGCTGACCCTACATGGGTAGGTGAGTGACCCCCTCAGTCCTCTGCCCCTCTTCTTGGAGTGGAGGATGTGACTGACCCCTGCCCTTCCCCATGCCCACCCTCCTGTGACCTGGGCCAGAGACCCTGTCTCCACACATTGGGGAGTTTCAGAGAGGGGCATAGAGTTTGTGTGGGTTCCAGGGTCAGGGAGGGAACCATCCCCAGCTCCATTCTGATGGCACAGGTGGTGGTGGTGGGGCAGACACTGTTCCAAGGTGGGCCATGGGAGCCCTGTGACCCCTGAGCCACCATTTATGATGGAGGGGAGGATGAGCTGCCCGGCCTGGGGCAGCGACTTCCATGTGTGGACCTGCTGGGGTCTGGGGCTCAGTGGTTTGGTCAGCCACTCAGTCAGCTGCTGCTATGAAAGCATTCTGTAGGTGTGGTCCACAGTGCTGACTCACAGCACCCCTATGTCCAGTCAAGTGAGGCATGCCCAGTCCTGCACCATCCCACAAGCACCAAGATCACCTTCCACAGTATGGGTGGACCTTGTCCAATTAGTTGAGGGCTTTATGAGCAGAAGGAGGTTTCCTGGAGAAAAGGGTTCTGCTGGGCTCCCAGTCTGCTGCCCAGCCTGTGGTTTCAAACTTGCCAGGCCTTCAATTGTGTGAACCAGTCCCTTAAAGTCAATTGGTCTGTATATGTGCATCTCTTTCTCTTTTTTCTTTAAAGCTTTTATCGTGAATTTAGTGATAGTTTACATGGGAGAACACTGGTTTTGCACTCAGTCTATTGTATTTTGTTTTGTTGCAATGATTACAAACCCCTCTGTGCATCATCACAACAGTATTTGCCTCTATACAGTCTGTTGGTTTTTTTTTTTTTGTGTGTGTGTGTGCTATGCCCCGCAAAACACGCAGGAATATATATCATTGTTTAAACAACCCAAGGGCACATTCTGCAAGCCTGCCTCCTGGCCACCAGCACACAGCTTTTTTCTTTCCCTGAGTCTAGAGTCCTCAGCTGCTCCCTCTCTCCATGTCCTCATCTCTGCCTCCATCTCTGGTGTCACTGCTTCTATGGATAGGGTCCCACATTCTGCTCATGCTCTTCTTTCTCCCTTGATGGTCCTAGGGTCCTAAGATTACCTGGTACTCCCCCTTTTTTGTTATAAAACTTCTACCTTCACAGTTGTGATGATCACAATTAGTCATGATAACAATTAGTATTGAATCAAATGAATCTTATCCCCGTCTCCTTTCACCAGACCCTTCCCACACACACTCTGAAACTAAACTCTCACTTGAAAACTTGTAAGCCAGTCACTTCGTGCCTTTATTGCCCCCTCATTTTAGGTAGCCAATGTCTAAGTTGCCTGTCCCTATCTACCCTGTGTACAGAGGAGATACGTTTGATCCTTACTGTGAAAACTCCTGCCCTCTCAGTTGGTATTTTGATCTATTCCATTCATAAGTAAAGGTCAACTTCATCAAATTGTAGCGATTTTATCAAATATCTTTATCTTCCTCTAGTCGAGTTCTGGTCATCAAGCCATTGAAGCTAGGTCAAATGGGTGCTATCTTCAAATTTGGGCATTTTTGTGCGTCTCTGTATATGTACAACTCTTATGTCTCCGTGTGCATGTGTCTATCCATCCATCAATTGATTCGTCATCATCTATCACTTGTCTATCTGTCTATTTATCTATCATCTGCCTGCCTGTCCATCCATCCATCCATCCATCCATCCATCCATCCATCCATCCATCCATCCATCCATCCATCATCTACCATCTACCTATCATCCATCTGCCTGCCTACCTATCCATCCATCTATCTATCTATCCACCCATCTGTTCCTCCATCCATCCATCCATCCATCCATCCATCTACCTATCATCTATCATCCTTCTATCATGTGTCTTTCTGTCTATTTATCTATGCACTTCCAGAGTCCCTGACACTCATCTACTAACCAAAAGGTTGAAGGTTCGAATCTACCCACAGGCATCTCAGAAGAAAGTCCTGGTGATCGGCTCATGAAAAACAAGCCGTTATGAACCTTGTGGAACACAGCTCTACTTGGGACACACATGGGGATGCCATGAATTGGGTGGACTCCATGGTAACTGGCCCATATACTGTCCACCGGCCCTGCTTCTCTGAAACAGCTACCCAAGTGTCTAGGACCTTCTTAGATAAATGGGTACTGGCTGCACTCTCTTCTCGCAGAGATTGAGGCTCAGGACCCTATGCCCTCAAGAGCTGGGGCTTTGCTCGTACCCTGAGTGAGTTATTCTGAGGGTGGAAGCTTGCCTGCTGATGGGGGACACACATGAACATATGAGAACTTAACCAAATAATCTAGAACTGTCTGAGACATACCCCCCTCAACACTCTCACCCTTCTTCCCTCCTTGTTCTGTTTCATGCTAATGGTCGCCACTGGTCCCTCTTTGTGTGGCTTTTGAAAGAGTGACCCCCCAGAAAGACAGACACCCAGAGGGAGAGTTTACCCTTTGGTATGTTTATCAGAACATCTGATCACCTTGGGAACTAGTGTGAATGTTAGAGCAATCAAGCTTGTAGCCCACTGTTGAAAGTGGGTATAAATATTGTTTGCAAAGGGTATTTCAGCAGACACCATCCCTCTTGTTTGTGGGTCCCCTGGGATCTGGCTTTCTGACAATAAAGACATTTCTCTTTCTGTGTTTATCTGAGATGTTTGTGAGTTGGACTCAGTTGCTCCAGGGAGTCAGGCCCAAACTTCAGAGCTGACAGATAGGCACGTTTCTGTGGTAACAGGGCTGATGAAGTATGCCCCCACCCCCCGTCCTTCCCACCCCAGGACTTGGTGCTGTCTGCCCTGGCCCTAGACCAGTGTGTCCACCCCATGGCCTGGGCCACTTGGAGTTGAAACTAGGTCCTGAAGGGGCTGAGTCTGCATTACTGACCAAGGCAGGCCTCCTTTGTGGGGACAAAGCTGGGTTCTGGAAAGAGCTGGGTGGGCCTGGGCCTGAGATGTCTACCTCAGGGCCTTTCCCTGCAGCTCCACCTTCCTGGTGTGGGAGCTAGCCTGGGATCTGCTTTTGCAGATGGGGACAAACATGGTTTCCTGTCTCACCACCCCTTCCTTAAGGCCAGGTCTTGACAATAATCCATTGGAACTAGTGTAGACCTGTTTATTGCATGGTGGAGAGGAAGCAGGGGACAGGATGATGTTCAGAGACATCCAGCGGTGGGAGTCTAGGGCCCTCTGGCTCCAGGTCTGCCTCCAGCTTCACGACTGCTTCGTTGAGGATCTGGGAACCAGACTCCCGTGGGCCTGTCTGCCTCCTCCGGCCCACATCTCACTGCCCCCTCCCCCTGTTGTCTCAGCCCCCCACCCATCCAGGAGCCTCAGGGCTTTCCCCACTCCATGAGATTCCTGGGGCCCCCGGTTTTCCTAATCTCTCAGAGCGATGGAGCCCACTGGTCTCACACTGCTGCAGAGGACAGACTGGGCGGGGGTCCTGGGGCTGCTGGGGGAAAGCCCCAGGGGCCCTAAACAAGGTGTGGGGCCACTTTGTCAGCATAGCTGGGTGGGGCCACCTGAGTCTGCAAAGCACAGGGTGAGAGTGTGTGAGGACTGACCAGAGGTGGACAGGAGGAAAGTGTGGGTGGACACGAGTCCTCATGACCAGAAAGGAAGAAAGTGGTGCTGCCTGAGATGATGTCGTTCTGAAAGAGTGACCACCCACAGGCTGCTGTGGGGCAGAGCGGGGGAGGGGGATCTTGCTCTGTTGCAGGTTCTCAGTGTCCCCTAGGCATGCTGACCCCAGGGGGCTCAGGGCAGAGGACACGTGGCCATACTTGGTGGGGATGGTCCCCAGAACAAGCAAGGACTCCTTGCCGGGGGAAAACTGCTTCCTGAAGTTAGGCGAACACAGTGGGGCAGGTGTCCACTCACCTAGGGTTCTGAGGAGACGCACTTTGCTGTGAATGAGACAATCCCAGGTCAGCGAGCGGCCTTTGCAAATCCTCTGCCCTCCGCCCCGCCAGCCCCTCTCAGGACCCACTGTAGGTCACATCCAGACTAGAAGGGAGAGCAATGCAAGGGGCTTACAGTGGTTGGACAGATCGAAGACGTTCTTGTCTGGGATGCCCCTCATGGTGGTATGCGTCCGGTATGCCTCATGACCCTTGTCCTCCACTGACGTGGTCCTGCCTACAGAGCCAGGGGCAGGGCATATTCTTAGCCAATGAGACCCTATCCCTGCTGGATGGAGGCGAGGGGTTGGGGGCTCTCAGGGTGTTCCCATGGAGTGTGGCCAAGCCCACCACCGTACTCCTGCCGTGGTGGCAAAGTAGGCTGTGGGTCCACCCGGCTGGTCAGCGCCTGCATCCCTGAAGACTCTGGCAGGGCTCCACAGAGCAAACCAGGAGTGGCCAAGCCAGGGTGGCCATCAGACAAATAGCCACAGCCTCCAGAAGTGCCCGGGGCCCGGGGAGCTGTGTTTGCATGCTGGGGTCTCCCTGGAAGGCCGGGGTCCAGCCCTGTGGCAGACAATACCCACCAAACAGCTCTACCACAACCAGGTGGTTGTTGGAGCTCATGTTTTCTGTGTCGACCACAAGAAAATCATGTGTGACCACCACGAAGGTCATGTAGTTCTTGCCCTCGTCTGTGAAAGAAAGCAGGGGTGGCCTCAGTGCCTTCGGCAGCCTCAACCAGGGGGCGCTCCTAGCCCAGACTTATGGGAAGGGTTCCTTCTCCTTCTCATTCAATCTCTCTCTGCCTTCCTCCTCTGCTTTCTCTTCCCTCTCCCTGCAACCCCCTTCCTCTGTCCATCCCCCACTCTCCTTCAGTCTCTCCTGTACATGAATCTTCACTGGACCTCAGTCCATTCGGGATAGGCCAAGTTTTCCTACTCATTGTTCACCATCCCATCAGCTACTCGGTTCACTCATTCCATCGTCCACTCTTTCTGTACCAGGTTACTCTGAGCGGTCTGTCCTGGGGTTGGACCCCAGGTAGAACCAATGGCACTCAGGACACGTGGGAGGGGTGGGGTCTTTGCCCCCATGACACATCTGGGCATGGTCACGTGTGGGGCGGGGGACCTGCCCTGCAGGGTCCCTCAGCTTTCGGGCTGTGGTTTATAAAACACTAGAACCTTGTTTTCTCCCTAATGGAGATCTTACAAGGTTCCCAGAGATCAGCTCCTCCTCTCTGGTCCACAATGGGGTCTAGGAAAAGGGGGCCTTCCCACTGTCTTCTGGGGAGCACACATTTGGGGATCTGTTGCTCCTAGGGTCTGCATATCCAAGCGTGGCTGGTGCTGTCTGGTTCCCCCTCAGGTAGGACCTGAAGACCCCCGCCTACTTCATTAACCACCGGAGACAGCTCCTGCTGACCCGTGCCTGAGCCCCTTCCCCCCAGCGGGGACATGACCATGCTTACTCACAGTCAAACTCATATTGGCCTGGGATGGCTGTCTTCTTCCCAATGAAGAATTCCTCTGTGCACTGGTCGTTTGTTCTAGAAGGAAACCCACTTTCTTACTGGGCGGTATTTGCAGTAGGGCTCTGTGAGGGTCGCCTGCTTGGCCCTGTGGGAATGGGCTGGGTCCTGGCTTTCTTAGGGTGTGGGGGCCGTGTAGGGGCTCAGCCTCACCTGTGGAAGTAGGTGACCTTCAGGTTCCCATCTTTCAGAAGCTTGATGGAGGACATGTAACACCGGTAGTCACCGCCCTCTTCGATGGCAGACCGGTTGGTGGAGCCCAGTTTGACAGAGGTCCACCGGCCTTGGACCTACAGCGAGGTGAGTGAGTTTTTCTGGTGCAGCTCTGGGGGCCGGATCCCAGGTCAGGTCCAAGCTTGCTGCCCTCTGCCAGCATCACTGGACCCAATCACAAGGGGACTCTGGGATCTGTTAGTGAGGAGCCCCTCCCAGAAGGGGCCTAGAGGACCCTAGTGTGTCCACTGCTCTAGCCTCCCTCTGCCGTCAGCCTCCCGGACCCACTCTGTGGGATAGTGTCAGCCCTGGACATTCAGCGCAGGGGCTCCCCTCAGCCACACAGGGTGCTGAGAGACGGGGTGAGGGCAGGGAGCCTCAGGAACTCCTCGCTCCTGGAAGTCCTAGCTGCCTCAGCCCCAGTTCACTACCTGCTCAGCTTGGAAGCCCGGCTGCACAGGCACGGGCTTGGGCAGGGGACCCAGAGCTGCATAGGCCAGGTCCAGACTCAGGAGGAAGCACAACAGATTCATGGTGCTTCGTGGCCCCGGGGAGGCTGTGGGGACAATCGCGCCTGCACCCCTATATATGTGGCTTCAGGTCAGGGCCACCATAGGTCACCAGGTGCCCCCCCCCCCCCCGCCCCCCACCACCGGAATCAAAATGTTTGCTGAGCCGGAGGAGTGTCCTGGGCCAGAGCCACCAGCTCTCTGCGGCGACAGCCCAGCTCTGGAAAGGTCAGGGGTGGGGGATGGGAGTGGGCAGGGCCTCAGAACCCTGGTGTGTGGACCCAGAAGCAGCTAGACAGGATTCTAGGTGGGATCTGAGAACATAAGACCCCGGAGATTGGAGCTACCTAAGTGCTGGTGGGAGGCTGTGCACGTATTTTGCGGGGAGCATGGAGGCCTGGAGAGGCGCTGCGGGTTAATGCACCAGACTGCAAAGTCCTTTGAACTGCAAGGTTCAAGCTCACCAGCTGCTCCTCAGAAACCCTATATAGAGTTGCTATGGGTCAGAACTGACGTGACGGCACTTCCCAACAACAACAACATGGCTGGTCCGGATCCTGTGAACCCACAAACTTGAACACCCCAGGAAGGAAGCATCCACTTGACCCCACTCAGTCCACTCTCAGGTGCTCTGGAATCTGTGCTATTTGGGGGCCAGCCCCTGGACAATTGAGGCTGGCGGCCGGACAGTCTGTGTGGCCAGCTTTGCTGCCAGTCCTGAGACCCTGAACTATGAGAGACCCCGATAGTGAAGCAGGGTCACAGTGAGGCTGTGGGATCTGGTGCTAAGATGTGCCCCACCCTCTGCACTGCTGGTACATCCTGTGGGATCCTCAGAACAATGAAAGCCCGTTTGTCTGCCACCAACCACTCCCAGCTCAGGGTCTGACAGAGAGCCAGCTGCTAGAGCCAGCGAGACCAAAGGGATTATCGTTGTGGGCCTGCTGAAGAGGCTGTGTCCTGCCAGATGTGGGCTATGGGCTTGTCCCTTCACACATGGACAGAAAGGATGGGGGATGGGGAGTTGGCTGTGTCCCCGTGATGCTACCCGGAGTGTCACACATGTCTTTGCTGTTCTGTGCTGAGCTTCTTTGTCCCACAGGAGGTGGGGCTGGGGGACCCATAGCAGCAGCTACTCAGAGACTGTAATTGTGTGTGCATGCATTCAGCTGTGTTTGTGCATGTGTGTACAACTGTGCTAATATGTGCACATGTGTGTGCAATGCATACATGCCCCCATTCCATGTGCTGGCATACATGTGCATGCACGTGCAAATATGCCCCTGTTCCATGTATTGGCACATATGCACATGCATGTTTGCACTTGTACAATGTGTGTACATGTGTACACCTGTGCTCATATGTGCATATGTGTGCATTGTCTATATGTCACTATTCCATGTGTTGACATACGCACACACATGCTTGCATCTATGCATGGTTTGTGTGTACATATATGTGCAACTGTGCACACATGTGTTGGAACATGTCTGTGCGTGTTTGCATTTGTGCACAGTGCATACATCTGTGTTCTTATATGCACACGTGTGTACAGTGCATACATTTCCATATTCCACATGTTGGCACATGTGTACATGTGGGCATGCATGTTTGTATTGTGCACTGTGTGTACATGCGTGTACACCATCCTATGTTTTCTGCTCAGACCTTTGCCCACACTTGCATAGGGTCCATGACCCTCTGTAATGCACCCTCCAGGGGACTGTAGATACCTCGGTGCCCTAGATGCTGCCCCTACAACTACCCCCACGGGGCTGTGGGGTCCCCTGAGCCTGGGTCCCTGAGGGCCAAGGTGGAAGGGAAAATTCAAGAAGGTTTTTGGAGTTCTGGAGATGTTGCTTAAGGGGAAAGCCCCAGATGCTCACTGCCCAGTGGTGTCTGGTCATGTCCAGCAGGACAGTAAGTGAGGTGGGAGAATGGGGGCGCCTGGGGAGCAGCTGGATGCTGGTATGATGAACATGCTTGTGTGGGAGCAGAGCCCATCAGCTGCCTCTGGGATGGGGTCAGGACGTCATGTCATTCTGAATGTGGAGATATGAGGACTGGGCTTGCCTATCCAGAACCAAACTGTACTTGGTCACCTGCCTTCATGTGGGCGGTGGGCATTGGGGTGGTCATGAAGAACAGCACCCAGACCCTCAGTCCTTTGTGGAATCAAGTAGAGAAAGACGCGCGGACCTCCTGAAGCTGTGACTGTGCCCCCAGAGCCTTGTCTTCCACAAGCGCAGGAAGGTGTTCAGGACTGTGAGCGGCGCAGGGTCTCCAGGGAGGGGTCAGCAGCGCTGTCCTGCTGGTCCCCTGTCTCCCTCCCTCTGGTCAGCAGGCTCTGGGCTGGAGGTCGGATGTTAAGGGTTCACTATTGAAACTGCTGAAACCTTTTCACAATCGCAGCAACATCCTCTTCTCCTTTCCTCTGCTCTCCCTTTACAAGTCAGTGAAATTGGGGCCCAAGACACGCTTGTACTCCTGTGTGGAGTGAGATCGGAAACGAAGATTCTAGACCACCTGCCATCCTGCCCACCGTGCTCCTGTAGCTGAGCCCTCCCCCCTCCATCCCACACACACAGGGACCAGCGCGGGGCCTGTTCAGCACACACACACACACACACACACACACAAGTCGGTCACACCTGCAGTGGGGGCCAGGGGCACCGTCGGCTGTGGCTACAAAGCCTCCCCCGAGTAGACCACATCTCAGGTCCCCAGGCTCTGAGCATGTGACTGAGAAGCACTTTCTGTCCAAGTGTCCAGGGCCATGTGTCCTGTGATCAGCCATCCCCAGAGCCCTAAGGTGGGTGAGGAGGAGATGATAGAACAGCCTGCTCAGGACCCACCCTATCCACCTACTTTCAGCAGCCCCCAGCCCCCCGCCTTCAGAACAGTCCGTCCATTAGCAGTGCTCTTAGCCCACATGCGGCTGAGGATGAAGCACTACCTGGCCTGGGCAGTCTGGAGTCCACTGTCCACTGACCCAGGGGGCCAGCTACTCTGACCCACAGGGGACGGTCACCTGGATCCCCTCCATGCTGACCTACAGGGGGTGGTCACCTGGAACTTCTCAATACTGACTCATAGGGGATGGTCACTTGGGTCCCGCCCCCATGCTGACCCACAGGAGACGGTGACCTAGGCTCCTTCCATACTGACCCATAGGGGGCGGTCACTGGGTCCCTCCCTGTCCCTGATTGGTAGCAATAGGTTTGGTTTGGTTTTTGGTTTCGGTGTGCTCCTGTCTTCCCATCCGCATCTGTGTGGCTGTGCGATTCAGCCTTAATAAATTCTTCATCACCGTTTGTGTCCTACCTGTGTGAGTTTCCGTTCACACTTGCACACTGTGAGTCCCTTCTCTGTGGGGACAGTGGATGTTCCACACCACAATCCATGACAGAGATGTTTCTTCACCCAATTCCCTCACGGCAACTGTCTTCCATGTGAAGAGAACCACATGCATGAGGGTTAAGGCCTGCTTCCTTTCACTTAGCAAGCTCCATGTCACATGCTTCTGTTGCTGGGTGGTATTCCGTGGTGAGGGTGGCCCACAGTCACCAGTGGAAGGATACCATGTTTTTCTTCATGTAATCTAGTTTCTCAGGTAATTTGCTCAGCGTACAGATTGAACAAGTCTGGTGAAAGGATACAACAACCGATTGGAAAAGATGAAAGATGAAAGATGACCTAATGGGATGGAAATCATAGAACAATATCATTAACATCTCACACAAGTCAAGTTTTGCTGACGAGAATTCAAAAACATCAGTTGGCAGCTGTCAGAAATTCAAGCCAGATTCAAAAGAGGACGTGGAATTAGGGGTACCATATGTGCATACTGGCTGCATATATGCAATGTGTATACACGTGTGTTCATGTTGTGCTGTGTGTGCTCTTCTAAACATGTGCACACTGTGTGCATGTGTGTACAGTGTATGTACACACAGTGTGCACACTTCATGTACGCTGTACACACTATTCTTATGTCCGTACTATGCATATTGTTCACGGTTTGCACATTTGCACACACACAGTATACACATGTACATTCAGTGTACATGTGCACACACAGTGTTCACACCCACACACTCAGTATACACACTCGCACACAAGAGGCAGAAGTGATCCAGTCAGAGCAAAAGTAGACTGGTTCACAGCAGACATCATGGTCACGGTGTTTTGAAATGCTCAAGGCATTTTACTCATTGAGTTTCTGGTGAGCCAAAGAAGGGTGCATCTGCTTGGGATGAGAGTGTTTTGCGAAGTGAAGTCAAAGCCTCACCGGCGCATCCTTTCCCGTCTCATTCCTCTTCTCGGACAAGAGCAATCTTAGGAGCGTGCAGACGGGACAGGATTATAGTCCTGATGTGGTACCTGTGACTTCCTTGTTTGCAGACCTTTAAGGGCCCATTTCCCTGCAGTCACCACAGTGAAAGAGACAAGATTGACTGGGTTCTGCTGCCAGGACCCTCAGTTCTCAGGGGTGGACCAGACGGCTGCTGTCACCGTTTACAGTGTCTTCATCCAGATGGAGCTTATGTTGGGAAAAAACATTTGTATTTTTAATTTTTATCTTTTATTTCCATTTGACCATGAATTTTGAAGACCCTCACATTGTCTTAAAGTTCTGTGGTCAGAGCTCCAAGCTGTGGGCAGAAGTGTCCCTTTCACAGGCTCAGGTGAGGCCATTCCTGGTTTCTCCCAGCATTTCTTGGCTCCTGATCACAAAGCCTTCTCCTGACTTTGACCTTCTTACTTGCTTCTAATAAAGACCTTTGTGGTTACAAAGAAGGTCACCAAGACGATTTCCCAGCTCCCAATTCTTAACTTGCTAACGCCTTCAAAGTCCCTTTTCCCATGTCAGGGGACACTTCCAGGTTCCAAGGATTAGGATGTGGACAACTTTGGGGGTGGGCGTGAGGGGCACTCATTATCCAGCCTTCCCTAGTGGTGTAGACAAATGCAATTGTTCCTTTGGCAGACTTGGAACTTTCAAGCTTACTGACTCACTGGTTCTAGGGAATTTTTAAATAGATTCTTTGGGGGATAAACAATTGCTTCATCTGTGAATGAAGAAAGATTTGTTTTCTCCATCCCTACATGTATTCCTTTCCTTTCTCCTATAGTCTTAGCACACTGGTTGGGACTTCCTGTGTGCTGCTGAATAGGACACCCTTACCTTCTTCCCAACCTTGGGAGGAAACAGTCTCTTCCCTGAAATCTGACCTTAGCTGTAGGAGCCTGTCAGCTGAAGGAAGTCCCCTGCTGTTTCCTGGTAGAATTGTACTTTCTGGCCCTCTTGTGGTTAACTGTGGTTACAACACGCACTTGCTAACAGGCTATGAGGTGAGGTGACCTGTACACCTTCCAGGTGCTAACGGAAAGGTTGACGATTCTCCTTAACCATGGAAGAAAGACCAGGAGCTCTACTTCTGAAAGGTCAGCCATTAGACACACTATGGAGTCCAGTTCTCCCCTGACACACACAGGGGTGCCGCGAGTCAGAGTGAACTGTATGGCCACTGGTTTATACCCTGGACTGTATCCAGCTCCCAGGCCCAGGACTTCCCACCAGATCCTTCCCACCAGCCAGTCAGGACAGACACCAAGGAGAGTGTGCATGGGACATTTATTGATGGAGAGAAGCCACCTAGGAGAACAAGAGTCACAGCTGAGACCCAGGACGAGTGGCTGTCATTGGTCTTCCATCTCTGCAACGCCTCCATGGTGAGGATGATGAGGGTGAGGGTTTCCCTCACTGCAAAGGAGCTGGCTCCGGGGACACTGGGGGGCCTAGAGGGGTGGGTACAGCAGTGCTTCTGTCACTGTGTGGATTGGACCGGTACCAGCCCCAACCAGGCTGTGGGGAGAGGTGGGCCTGTGTGAGGTGGTGCCTCGAGCCACCCACAGCCACACCTTGAAAAGAGCGGTCACCTTCTCCCTCCACTAGCCCCCACAGGTAGGAACTGGGCTTTAATGGGGCTCAGGACACATGAAATGACCACTTGATAAATATTAGCCCAAGAGATGTCAGCACTTGGTTAGTCCAGCTGTCTGGATTTGCAAGGGGAGTTCTCAGGACCTTGTAGGAGGTGTCCAAGACCTCCTAGTGGATGGGGTTTGTCCCCTTAGCAGTACTGCCCAGTGGGAATGTGGGTGAATACTTTACCCCTAGAAGTAGAACAAATCCACACACCTATATGCGACACTGCTCTGTGGGGGAAAGTGACAAAGAGACATGGTGGGAAATCTGAGGACATGATCAACAGCTCAGAAGCCCCCACACCTACTACCCAGGGCCACA